AACTCAATGCCAGGAAAACAAACAACCCAATCAAAAAGTGGGAAAAAGACCTAAACAGACATTTCTCCAAAGAAGACATACAGATGGCTAACAAACACATGAGAAATGCAGATCAAAACCACAATGAGATATCACCTCACACCCATCAGAATGGCCATCATCAAAAAATCTACAAACAATAAATGCTAGAGAGGGTGTGGAGAAAAGGGAATGCTCTTGCACTGTTGATGGGACTGTAAATTGATACAGCCACTATGAAAGACAGTATGGAGATTCCTTAAAAAACTAGGAATAAAACCACCATATGACCCAGCAATCCCACTCCTAGGCATATACCCTGAGGAAACCAAAATTGAAAAAGACACATGTATCCCATTGTTCATTGCAGCACTATTTACAACAGCTAGAACATGGAAGCAACCTAGGTGTCCATCTACATGTGAATGGATAAAGATGTGGTGGTACATATACACAAAGGAATATTACTCAGCCACAAAAAGGAACGCCTTTGAGTCAATTCTGATGAGGTTGATGAACCTGGAACCTATTATACAGAGTGAAGTGAGTCAGAAAGAGAAAGATAAATATTGTATTCTAACACATATATATGGAATCTAGAAAAATGGTACTGAAGAATTTATTTACAGGACAGCAGTGGAGAAACCGACCTAGAGAATAGACTTATGGATATGGGGAGAGGGTGAGATGTGTGGAAAGAGTAACATGGAAACTTACATCACCATGTGTAAAATAGATAACCAATGGGAATTTGCCGTATGGCTCAGGAAATTCAAACAGGGGTTCTGCATCAACCTAGAGGGGTGGGATGGTGAGGCAGATGGGAGGGAGGGGGTATATGTATACCTGTGGCTGATTCATGTAGAGGTTTGACCAGTGAGCTAGAGAAGTTGCTCAGTCTTGCCCAACTCTTTGCGACCTCACGGACTGTAGCCTACCAGGCTCATCCATCCATGGAATTTTCCAGGCAAGAGCACTGGAGTGGGTTGCCATTTCCTTCTCCAGGGGATCTTCCCAACCCAGAGATTGAACCCAGGTCTCCCACATTACAACCAGACAGATGCCTTACCATCTGAACCACCAGGGAAGCCCAGAAAACAACAAAATTCTGTAAAGCAAGTATCCTTCAGAAAAAAAAAAAAATTTAAATCAACTTTTTTCTGTTCTCGTCTTTGTCTTCAGTCATCCCTAGTTGCCTTTAATAAAAGATTCTGGAACTTCACCATCTCCACTGCTGCTGGTTCAAAACCTGACCAAAGGAGCACCGGCCATCTCACTGGCCAGGATTCTCCCAACTTGGCCTGGATTTTCCCCATGAAATAGGTTCTCAGGAGAGCTCCAAGTTGTTCTCATTATCATTTTTTAAACTTCCAAAGCAGATTTGTTGAGAATCATACATTTGACCCTTTGTGAAGTTATTTTTTTAAAGAAATGTCACCTTTTCTATCTCCCTCCTTATTTGATAGGTCATCACACTGGGAAATGCTTTCTTAATAGAAAAGACCTTGCAATGGGAGGCACTGTGTTGTGTTTGGACCCCTTAACTACAACTATTTTTTGGACCAAGCAAACAACTATTATTTATTTCTTCATAATTAAAGGAACTGACCAAGCTTTTTATCTTGCAAATATAGAGGGAGGGCCATTTAGTTGGGATAAGCAGCACGGAGAACTAAATTTGTTTTATGACTGGAGCAACTATGAGAGGGTTGGGAAATGACCAGCAGAAGGTCATGGCACTGGCTAGTATTTCTAGTGTCTACATTTAGGGCTGTTTAATTGAATGTCTTTTACTGGCTGCCTGTCTTCTGAATTTACTCCTAGCACAGCTGATGGTTCCTGAGATCTCAGAAATCACACTACGGTGTTTCCACCTGAGAACTTGGGTTGGCTGGAAACACTGAGGCAATGACCGAGACTGCCCACTGCCTCATTTGAAGGTAAAGTTTAGAAAACTGCCTTGTATATTGCTGTTTTCTAAATGAGATGTACATTTTAATGACTCTTAGGACAATATTCTCATAAGCACGTGGTTTTTAAAATCACAAAAAGATATTTTTATCTTGAAAACAGTTTTCTCTGAAAGCTTTTTAAAAAGCTGCTCAGTCGTAGCACTTAACGTCTAAGAAACAAAATTTTCATTCCTAAAACTCTTTTTCCCCAACACTTCCTTCCTTCCTTCCATAACACTGTGAGAATTCAAAAGGGAGCCTTGCTTTTATTCGGAAAAGAAGGTCAGTTTCTTTTAAAGAGCATAAAAGAGACTAGTTAAAACATATATATATATAAAGCACTTTTTAAACTTATGGGAAGCTTGACTTACCAATTTTAGTCTCAGTACTTGTTAGGTAAGGATCCAGTGAATTTCGAAGACTCCTGGTTATGGAAAGAAGGCCTAGGCATCTTCAACATTTTTTTTTCTGAGTAATTAACATGCTGAAACAAACAAATGAACATGCATACTGAGAAAGATGTATTTCTCAAGGGCACTTGCTCCTTGGAGAAAAGCTATGACCAACCTAGACAGCATATTAAAAAGCAGAGACATTACTTTGCCAACAAAGGCCTGTCTAGTCAAAGCTGTGGTTTTTCCAGTAGTCATGTATGGATGTGAGAGGTGGACTATGAAGAAAGCAGAGCGCTGAAGAATTGATACTTTTGAACTGTGGTGTTGGAGAAGACTCTTGAGAGTCCCTTGGACTGCAAGGAGATCCAATCAGTCCATCCTAAAGGAAACCAGTCCTGAATATTCATTGGAAGGACTAAGAAACTCCAATACTTTGGCCACCTGATGCGAAGAACTGACTCACTGGAAAAGACCCTGGTGCTGGGAAAGATTGAAGGCAGGAGGAGAAGGGGATGATAGGGGATGAGATGGTTGGATGGCATCACCGACTGGATGGACATGAGTTTGAGTAAGCTCCGGGAGTTGGTGATGGACAGGGAAGTCTGGCGTGCTGCAGTCCATGGGGTCACAAAGATTTGGACACGACTGAGCGACTGAACTGAACTGAGAAAGAAACGCAAGTGACTATCCAAACTACAGGATTTTATCAGTAGTGAGAACGAGGCATGGTTTCTTCACAGGTTAAATCTAGTCCTAGAAGCGTTGTGTTGGAGCGGTTGTCCGGTTGTACATGTAATTTTGCGGTCGTCTTAATCCTGTCTCCTTCGGTGCAGGCGCTGCCTAAAGAATGAGGAGCGAAGAGCCGGCCGTGAGCATGGAAGAGACCGGCGGGCCGGACGCGGCTGCGGGCCGCCTGGGGGCGCCGTACTCCGAGGCCTGGGGGTACTTCCACCTGGCTCCCGCGCGCCCCGGCCACGCGGCGGGCCCCTGGGCCACCTGCCGGCTCTGCGGGGAGCAAGTGGGCCGCGGTCCGGGCTGGCACGCGAGCACCCCGGCGCTGTGGAAGCACCTGAGGAGCGCGCACCGGCGGGAGCTGGCGGAGAGCGCCGCCCGCCGCTCGCCACCCGCCTCAGCGGGAAGTGAGCCGGCGCGAGGGCGCCTTGGCCCCGGCCCCCCCGCTCAAAGACGAGCCCGAGGGGGACCCCAGGGACGGCTGCGTCATCACCAAGGTCCTCCTGTAGGTTTTGGCCGCGCCCACCCCCCAACTCCACCAGCGGTATTCCTCGTGTGGCCCGCGGAGCGGCGTCTTCAGCCTCACCTGGGAGCGGGATCCCTTGACCCCTCTGCCGAATTGAAATCGCCAAATGCAGGGTCTTCAGAAGCAGAACCGGAACATGCTCGTGGTCCTTTCCGGCGGCCTCCTCTGCTGGTGGCATGTCGTGGGATCCGCTCAAGCGGCGGTTTTCCTCTGACCGCCTTTGGAAATGAGTCCACCGGCCACATGAACCTAGAGCACTTGGAGCCATGGCCGTTCTGTGGCTGGTAACTTTGAAAGGACCGAAACTTCCTTACACACCAAGGACTGTCGCACCATGTGCCCGCAACCCAGGGTAGAGTGTGCATTGAAACGAGGATCAGGCATTTTTACCCCCAAAAGTTTTCCCTACTTCCTAAGGAGCAAGTCTTTGATGAGTAGCCCCTGCCCAGCACCAAGTTCTGAACGGGAGGCCGTTTAGTTTCCAGAACTGCTCATCACCCTATCATTCCTAGTGCCTTAGGGAGGCAGTCCTGGAGAAGCCCTCTGTTTGCTCCCCTCCCCAGCTGGCCCCCCAGCACCAAGCGCTTTGTCTCAGCTCCACCACCTTCTTTCCCCTGTTGGAGGCCTGATGGCAGCTGTGGCACGTTTCCCCACTTTACTGCCTCACACCTGCCACCTTACTAGCAAGACCTGACCTCAGTGCTCCTTGACAGGAAGGCCCCCCCCCACCCTGTCTCCTCAGTCCTCACACCTGGGCCGAGGGAAAGGCACCCCCCATCCGAGGCCACCTCCTTCACCTTTACTGGGCCTTTTGTTGTTGCCGTGCTAAGTCATGTCCAATTCTTTTTCGATCCCATGGATTGTATAGTCCCCCAGCCTCCTTCCCGGGCAGTCATCCGCAGTGGGTTGCCATTTTCTACTCCAGGGATCATCCCCATTCAGGGATCAAACCCACGGCTCCTGGGCTGCAGGCGGATTCTTTACCGCTGAGCCGCCTGGGAAGCCCCGTGGATGTCTTATAGAATGTCCAATATTCTGGATTTGCCTGATTGTTTCCTTAGGCCAAATTATGCAGTCCTCCTTGGCTCATCTGCCCGGAGAGCTGCAACAGCCACCTCCGTGCCAGCAAGTCCTGACCCCGCCAGCCTTGTGTGCTCCCCAGGCCTGTCCTTCGTGTTCCGGCCCCTGCAGCCTATCTCCACCTCTGCTGGTACCTCCGCCGCCGGGGAGCAAGGGGTGAATGTATGCAACTCCACATCCCCACCCCTGACCCAATGACTGGGAGCTACTGGGCTCTTAAAATGTGTCAGGTTCACTTACATGTTTTATCTCACTTTATTTCCAGAGCAGCTCCCTGGGGAGGGGGGCATATTGATAACCAACACTCCGCGCATTTTCCAGCTACTGAAACAGAGCGGGGTTAAGTGGCTTGGACCGGATGAGAGCTGGTAAGCAGTCGTGTCAGCAGTCCAGTCCAGTCTCTGCCTCCAGACGCCACGTTCCCGGCTGCTGTACCGTTGCCCTGGTTACTTACTCATCCCAGCTGACACCTGTTTGCGTCCTGATTCCAGCTCCAGGCCGCGCCGCCAGTGACGCTGACACGTGCTGAGCACTCACCGTGCGGGAGGCACGCAAACACGGTGTACAAGAGTAACTGCCTACTGTGCAGCGACCCCGTGGCATTACTGCTCCTACACACACAGGCTCAGAGGAACTAAGGGATGTCAAGGAAGAGTGGGATTTGAGCACCAGTCTCGCTGAATCCTAGGCCCCTGATCCATTAGTCTATTTCTAGTGGCTCAGCTGGTAATGAAGAAGACCCGGGTTGATCCCTGGGTCAGGAAGATCCCCTGGCGAAAGGAATGGCAACCCACTCCAGTATTCTTGCCTGGAGAATTACATGGGCAGAGGACCCTGGTGGGCTACAGCCCATGGGGTCGCAGAGAGTCAAATACGACTGAGCGACCTTCACTTTGACACCTGTCTTCCTTCTGATGTCACCTGCCCAGCTCAGGGCCCGGTTATCACTCAGCTGGGACTCACCTTTCCATCCTCGTCTTCTCACACTACCACCTACCTGACACTCAGCTTGACCAGCAGAATTGTTCTGACACTGATTATATCGCATTTCCTGCTCAAGACTGGAGATCACCCATCCTCTACAAGCGCTAACTTCGTGGCCTGACAGTCAAGTCCCCCCAGCCCTGTGCCAGCCTTATCTGTCCCCTCCTCCACACATGCTGTATGCTTCAGCCAAACTGGACTCCTTGTTCTTCTGATGTGTCCTGGTCTTGGCACCTCTGTGCCTGTTTGCACTTCCTCTTAAAAAAAAAACCCCTTCAATCTGAGTATAAAAAATACCACACATTTTCTAAGAATAAGCTCAAATTTGACTCCCTACATGAAGCTTTCCTGAATTCCTCATCATTCAGAAATGGTTCCTTACTTCTCTGGACTCTCAGCCTTTCGTATCTCAGAGCCCTTAGAAGGCCCTCTGGCGTGTGCCCTTGGGAGCCAGGCTGGTGTTCATTCATCCGGGCCCCCCAGTGTCTTACCTGTGGCAGCTGCTCAACAAATATTGGAGGTGATAAACCCATTCAGTGTGTTTAAGATTTTTTTATGAGTTTTCCCACTTAATACAATTATTCCTTTATTTTAATTCTGAGTGGAATTCCTAACAGAAAAAAGAAGTAGCCTTAAAGAAAATAGCAGTAAATTTTTAAAAGCTGTTTAGTCAGTGAACTTTTAAAGTGTCAGTTTGGGGCTGTTTGGTTTGAATCTAATCACAAGGCATGTCAATTATCAGGAACACTTTTCTTAAAATTATTTTTTTTTCATTACACAATTAATATAAATGCAATGCCCCAATCTAGGAAGAAAAACTGAAAGAAAAAAAATCTCCCAAAGTCCTGTCATCTTAGTCAGACTGCTATTAACATTTTTTTATTCTTCTGTCTCCTGCAATTTTTGTATTACTCTAAAAATAGTATGTTATTTCTGTTAAGAACTGAAATTTAACTTCATGTGTGTTTATAATTGGGCTATACAATCTGAATTTGGACTTTTAGGAAGGAAAAAAAGTACAAAGTCACTCTTCAGTTTCACCAATTGTTCGAACCATTAAAATAAGCAGAGTGACTTTTAGAATCTTAACCACTCTTTCAAGAAAGGTGGCTAATGGGTGCGCCAGTCATCTGTTCAGGGGATGGGGAAAGCAATTAGCCTGACTGACTGATGCCTTATTACTGGTTGTGGGAGTTAAACATTTTTTACACTTCTGCATTGCTATAGCCTTTTCATATCAAGCATATATTACTTTTATAATTAAAAATAAAAATTACTTCTTGCAAATGGAAAATCCTTCCTATTAGCAATCAGCATATTTAAGAGAAACAAAACTTCCCACACAAGAAGTGAGATAACCTGCAATTCCAGAAAAGCCTAGAAGGAAATGCAGTCCAACTCCATCATCCACTCTCAGTGGCTACGATGGTTCACCCGACTCCATCCTCATCAGATATTCTGCCTCTTTGGCCCTGAGGGCTTCTGCTGGCTCACCTGGCAAAGCACAAGGGCTACCAGGACCAGCTGGCTGAGCTGGCATCCTGTCAGGTAAGTGCCGGGAGCTGCAAGTGTAGAGGTGGGTTCCGGGGATAGCATCGGTCTCTCTGGCCCAGTCTGCTCACATTAGAGTTGTCACTGCTAATGGGTGATGGGGATGTGCCCTTCTTATACTGGCAGAATGTCCCTGACTGATACAATAAGCCTTGCTAATAGCACCAGACAGTTGCTGCCTTTGAGGGCAAGGTACATGGCAAGGTGGATGGCTGGAACTGGGATGCAGAATGCCCTGAATCCAATTCCTGAACTCCTGCCATGATGCCAAGTGATGGGTCACTGCTTTAAGTTAAGATTCGGCAGAGGAGAGGGTGTGGGCAAATCAGGGTAATGACAACCAAGGCTGAGAGAGCTAGGGCTCTTTATGCACCTCAGGTATCATCCTTCGAGGCTGGAGAAGGGAACGGCTTGCTTAGTTTGGGCTGAATTTCTATTTTAGAAAGCTGTCTTAATGGCTCAGAAGGGATTCATAAAAACTAAGTTTTTGTTTTGCTACCATGGACTTATTGGGGAATTCTGTTTCTAAAGGTTTGATCTTCTTCAGTCTGCTCCTTTGTTTGGAAAATGGATGAAGTGGGCATTAAGGTCCCCTTTGGCTCTAATACACTATGATAACATAAAGTACAGTGAAACATCAATATCTGAGTGAATCAGTTGTTCTGTTTAGATTTTCCTGTTAATTATAGATTTAGAAGAAAGTTTAAATTCACATGTATGTGTTTATTATTAAAAATAACAATAGTATATCACACTTCTACAGAAGTGAGGCACTTAACTCTATGAGATAAACTACCTAGAAGTGAAAATGTGTGTAAGCATGCTCTTCCAGTCCTCACAGCGCCCTACAAGCAGAACAGGTATAATCATCTGTGTGTTACTGTGAGGCCCCATTTCAACGCGGTGAAATGGCCTACAAAGGACCACAGCTCCTGAGCAGCAGACTGGAGGCTGGGCCTCAACCCGTGGGTCCCGGCCAGCTGTGGAACCAGAACCCTGCACCTCCTTCCGTGCCCCCTTCTGACCCACCTCTTCACCACTGCCTGACCGCTGTATCGTGGCCGGAGTGTCTGCTGACACTTGGGTCCCTGTTCGCGACTTCCCACCCAGGAGCTCTGGTGCGGAGAGGAAGCAAGGTTGGCCATTAATAGTTTCCTATGGCTGCTGTAACAAATTCCACAAACTTGGTAGCTAAAAACAGCACAAATGTATTAACTCACAGTTCTGCAGGTCAGAAGTCTGAAAATGCCATCTCAAAGTGTTGGCAGGGCTTCTTTTCTAGGGGCTCCAAGAGAGAATCTGGTTTTTTGTTTTTGTTTTTTTGCTTTTTCCAGTTTCTGGAGGCTGCCCACATTCTGGCTGCTTCTTCAAGGCCAGCAAAGACCAGTCTTTCTCACAGCCCATCACTCTGCCTCCCTCGTCCACATTTAAAGGACTGTCTGCTGAACTTAAGTTCAGTTGGTCAGCAACCTAATCCTATCTGCAAACTGAATTCTCCCCTGCCAGGTGATACTGCGGTTCCAGGGGTTAGGATATAGACACTTGGGGAGGTGGGGAAGTAGAAGTGAAAATGTGTGTAAGCATGCTCTTCCAGTCCTCACAGCGCCCTACAAGCAGAACAGGTATAATCATCTGTGTGTTACTGTGAGGCCCCACACTTCAACGCGGTGAAATGGCCTACAAAGGACCACAGCTCCTGAGCAGCAGACTGGAGGCTGGGCCTCAACCCGTGGGTCCCGGCCAGCTGTGGAGCCAGACCGCTGCACCTCCTTCCGTGGCCCCCTTCTGACCCACCTCTTCACCACTGCCTGACCGCTGTATCGTGGCCGGAGTGTCTGCTGACACTTGGGTCCCTGTTCGCTACTTCCCACCCAGGAGCTCTGGTGCAGAGAGGAAGCAAGTTTGGCCATTAATAGTTTCCTATGGCTGCTGTAACAAATTCCACAAATTGGTAGCTAAAAACAGCACAAATGTATTAACTCACAGTTCTGCAGGTCAGAAGTCTGAAAATGCCATCTCAAAGTGTTGGCAGGGCTGTCTTCTTTTCTAGAGGCTCCAGGAGAGAATCTGGTTTTTTTTGTTTTTTTTTGCTTTTTCCAGTTTCTGGAGGCTGCCCACATTCTGGCTGCTTCTTCAAGGCCAGCAAGGACCAGTCTTTCTCACAGCCCATCACTCTGCCTCCCTCGTCCACATTTAAATGACTGTCTGCTGAACTTAAGTTCAGTTGGTTAGCAACCTAATCCTATCTGCAAACTGAATTCTCCCCTGCCAGGTGATACTGCGGTTCCAGGGGTTAGGATATAGACACTTGGGGAGGTGGGGAAGTGGCAGGCATTATCTACCTACCATAGCACATTACACTGTCTGACCCGGGTCTGGGTGGGGGTGGTGTGAGAAAGGAACGTGCCTGATGAGGAGCCCCTCTTCCTTGGGAATCGGCACTTTACTGGGGTCCTCATCTTTCCCTCCTGTGTCTTCCTCGGTCTCTGCCCAGTGCAGGGAGTCCTCATAGGCTTTTCTGAGAAAGCTACCTAGAAAGGGATATGAGGAATACCTCTGGAGTTTATAAATTTGTACACTGACTAGAAAGGCTGGTGTGTGTGTGTGAAGAACTGATTGAGTCTTTAGAGTCAGATGTGAATTAAACTCTTTTAAAAAAAAAGTACTCATGTTGATTAGTAACAATGTTGAAACACAAAAAATTAAAAATAAAATCTAAGCTTGCAACTACCTATGTTAGATGTCACCTTGGCAACCACTTCAATCTCTGAAAACCAGTTTCTTCATCAGTAAAATGGGGATAAGACATACCTTACAGAGTTGCTATTATGATTACTCTTTAAGCAGATTCTGATGTACTTTAAACTCAGTAACGACTTCTTTTTTTCTTTTCTCTTATTTATCTGAAAGAGAGCTCAAAACCAACCCAAAGGACTTCAGCAAGAGCAAGTTCCCCTGAAATGATTCCCGAGAGAGGAACATAAGCCACGAGGGTCTGCTAAATCATTTTCCCTCATGATGAAACTACTTTTCTATCAAAACATAAATTTCACACCCGATTTGCCAAATAAGCTAATCCAGTCAAACTCAACATGACTTGTGACTATCATCTGACCAATCTTACAAGTAAATATACCAAAGCTGATCCATCTATGCACTTCTGCCTTCAAAGTTATCACCTTTGAAGATTATATAGTTATTCCACAAGTGCTTCCATGCTTAAAGCTTCTGGAACTCTTTTTTTCAGAG